CATAGATTATTGATACTGAAGTAGAAAATATATTCTTCAAGTATTTCTACGCAGTTGCATTGATTGCTATTGATCTCATAAATGATATTAGTTTCCAAAAATGTCACTTTAATTATTGATTTTATCGTAGTTCATTAAATACTTTATAGAATGTTAATATAAAGGTTATTTCCAATAAAAACGAATTTAAATTATTATTTTTTATTCAAAGTATCTTATTGCTATCACAGACATGGCTTTTTGTCACACACATGCTCCTAGTTTATATGTATAAATCACCAACATGTAATAAATGTCACAGACGTGGTACCCAGTTTGTATACACCAGTCACTGACGTGTTCTATATGTCACACACATGGATGTCTTCTTTTTTAAATACAGTTTTCTCAGTCATCAAAATGATTCAAGCTTGGCAATTTACATGAGAAACATCTGAGAAGGTCACCTTTCACATCCTATCAATTAAAATAAAATTGCAAAGACAACACACCGTTACATGTTTGGTGAAAATGACCCATATCGTCCGTGAACTTCTGACACATCCTAACTAACATTTTTAGCAAAAATTTTTTTTGACGCCATCTTTTGATGATGCGTAGAACTAATCGAATGCTTTAACCTCCTAAATTTAATAGTCCCTTGTTTTGACGATATTCTTTCGGAGAAATATCTCTTAAATTTTGTCGCCCTATATTTGGCGGAAATTTCTCCGAACCGAAAGCGTGCGTGCACAGGCGTCGTACTCGTAAGGCGTTTGGTGATAAAAAGTAATTTTTTTGAGTATTTTATACTCAAATTTGTGATTTAATCTAATGTTGTTACTACCTAAAACGATTTTGTTAGTTATGTTTCCTAGAATACTTAAAACTAGATGTAGCTGAGATACATTTAAGTTTATGTAACAGATAGGAGTAATTTCTTCGAACACTTTTTACGTAAATAATGCATCTTTTGTATTAGATTCATATCAGATAGAATAAATTTCTATTAGTTATTTTGTTTTCCTATTTTTTACTTATTGCAATCAATATCTTTGCGGTAGGTAGTTTAATAAGTATAACGTTTGATTAATATTAATCTTTTGTATCTGTTTTTTTTCTTTGGCAGCTTCAGCAATAATGGCGTCTAGGAACAAGGCTCATGCACTAGTAAACAAAATTTGTAGCTCAAGTGAAGCACATAATCTTGCACCCGCAACCTCAACTCCGATTCCGATACAATTTCCGGAAAAGATTGATCTTGCCACATATACAGACCTACATTATTTTGAAAGGAGCAAACCTCCGGGAGAAGAAAGATTGATATTGGGGCTATTTAATACTGATAACAACGCAGATCTCGTTCAATTAGAAGACGCGACAGATTCACTGCCTTTTTTAGTATGTGCAACACCAGCATCATCACCAACTTCGCCACCACCACCTAGACCAGATTCTACTTCATTTCGTGATGACTTTTCGCCAGATGACAGTGATTACGAACCACCAAACCACGATGCAATAAGCTCTGATTCCGAAAATATCCAACCAAATATTCAAATAACGGACACTATCCAGGAGGTAGTTCACTATGGCGATATGACAGAAGGCCGGTGTCGACTAAAAGAAGCTCAACCAGAAAGATGGAAAAAAAATGTTACCAAGCGATTGCGAATGGAGGGTAAAGAGTATGTAGGATACAAACGACCAAGGGGTGAAAAAGTTCAACCCCAATTTCGAAACTCAAGGGTCATTGGACCTAAGTGTGTTTCGAATTTCTGCAGAAAGAGTAAGATCAGATGTTGTGATGAAGTAGGTGATGACGATAGGGATAAGATATTTCAACAATTCTGGAATGACATGGATTGGCATCAACGAAAAGTATACGTAGCTAACAACGTAACTTTTCAGGGAAAAGGCTCTGAAATTTCGAGAAGATCAGGTACTTTAATTTATTTTCTTCCTGTTAGCAATCCCAATGATGGCACCACAACTAAGAAGCGAGTACGTCGTGAAATGTTTCTTCAGACTCTTTGTCTCGGATCATTTTCAGTACAGATGTGGGCTAAAAAAGGGCAATGTGGCATGCATCCATCGGAAGAAAATATGAATCGTAACCGCCGTCCCAGAGCATTACCTTGTCAGGGACGTGCGGATGCCCTAAAAAGCTTTTTGGATGGGTTGCCTAAAATGCCGTCGCATTACAATCGTCTTAACACCAGCAAAGTCTTCCTAGAGCCCATTTATCGGAATGTCAATCACTTATACAGTACATACAAACAATTTAGCTCAGAAAAGGAGGTTAATCCCTATGCTAGAAATAAATTTACACAGACACTTAAATCTAAGAATATAGCTATCCATACAATAAAGAAGGACATGTGTGATACCTGTGTGGGTCATCAGACTGGTAATGTGTCTGAGGATGATTTCCAAATACACCTGTGCAAGAAAAATCGAGCTCGTGAAGAAAAAAATAAAGACAAAAGTGAAGCATTTGATCGTAAATGCATAGTTTTGACGATGGATTTACAATCTGTTAAGGTGTGTCCGTTTATCACCGCCAGCACTGTTTATTACAAGACCAAATTGTGTGTGCACAATTTTTCCATTTACGATTTAGCCTCACATCATTGTACTTGTTACTGGTTTACAGAAACGGAAGGTGATTTATCAGCATCTACCTACGCAACATTCATTACAGATTATTTGACTCGCCATCAGAGATGTAATTTATCTAAGATACAAGTATCTGAAATACAGATACAAGATACAAAATACGTATTTTCATCTTGTATCTAAAATACTTTTTTTAAATTCTATTTGTATCTTGTATTTAAATACCTTTTGTTTGGTATCTTAGTATTTTGTAGATACTATGTTTGCTAAAATACTTTTCGTAATAGATAATTGATTTTATTGTGACATTTTAGTTGACATTAATTTTAAATTTCAATGTTGTCTTAGATAAAACTGAACGCGCCATTGAATCTTTGGTCTGGGGCCAAATTGATAGCCCCTTGACTCGTGTCATTTTTAATCATTCCGCAAAATAGTCTGTGTTTAAGGGAGACACGTAAAAGTTTGGTCGGTCGGTCTGAGCTATGAGAAGATTGAGTCTTTTCTTGAGCCTTGACTTTCTCATAACACCATCTAAATAAGAACAACACATTTTGACGACACAAAGTATGTGTTATTGAACGAAACACAGTAATAGTTTAACATTTGATATAGGCAGAATCACCGCACGGCTAAGAGCGGAATCAAAATCATAAAAAAAATAGTCTTTGTCACCCTGATTTTTATGTGTGGAACAACAATATTGCTTTTGTGAAATTCGAGATTGCGAACATGGAAACGTAAGTTTTACTTTATGTTGCTAAGTATAATATTTGATTAGATCTTATACACTTCGCAGGTCGACGACAGGGACGACAGAAATGTGTATGCAACTCGCGAACAGACCGGGAAGACTTTAGAATGACAACAAACAAATCATCAATGATATTTTTACGCATTTGTGTATAATTTAGTTGTAGGTAATTAGTGATATCTAATTAATGTATCTTCTATACAATAAAAATGAATCTAGTCAATGATAGATATTTATAAGTTTGAGTCGAACTAATCGGAATGTTAGCTGTGTCGTCTTAAAATTTCATATTTCTTTTCCTAACAAAGTTTGTTTTTTGTTCTCAGAAATAATGAGAATAATTTGAATATACCACTAATTTTAAAGCATTGCTTTAAAGATATCAAACAAGTTGATGGAAGTGATGTGAATGTATCTGCAACATGCAATATATGTTCGAAAGTTATAAAGGGTAGTGTGACTTCTACTACAAATTTCCTAAAGCATTTAAAGGTAGGTTTTTTATAAAGATGCATTCATTTGTATAAATAAAAGATAAGATAAATATTTTAATTGCTGTTTACTTATTTCAAATGGTTATTTTATGAGGAATTGTTCATGAGAATTAATGAATTCTAGATTTTTGTTTAAATGTACTAATTTCCTTATTATTTTATTACAGAGGAAAGATCACTCAGATCTTTTGCAAGCTTATGAAAAACTTAAAAATTCAAACCTTAAAAAAAGAAAACATACTGAGATTAGTAGCAGCGGTTCAGAATTAGTAGTAATACATAAAAAATTAAAGCAGTCTACTCTTACTGATGTTGCAAGTGGTTCAAAATCTGTTAATTTAGACAAGTTGATTGTACAAATTATTGTTGAAACCATGTCACCGGTATCAATAGTGGAGTATAAGTCTTTTAAAGCTTTAATTGAAGGTGCACAGCAACTAACAAAGCCTCCAAACGTTATGTGCCGTCATACAGCTAAAAATAAAATTTGTGATGAGTACAATGAATTTAAGAAAAAAATTAAAATAAAGTTGAACACTGTCGAATTTGTGTGCAGTACTGCTGATATTTGGTCTTCTTCTAAAAGAAGTTATTTGGGGGTTACAGTCCATTGGATTGAAAGTGAGACTTTTGAGAGGAAAAGTGCTGCCATTGCTTGTAGAAGATTCAAAGGGGCTCACACATATGATAAAGTTGCAGAAATGATAGCTGATATACATTCTGACCATGACCTAAAACTATCAAAAATAGTTAAGACAGTTACAGATAACGGTTCAAATATGGTTAAGGCTTTTGATGTATTTGGGAAAACTGATTCAGAGACAATTGGAAATAATGAACATGTTTCACATATTGATGAAGATATTGAAGAAATATCACTCGCAGAAGGTAATGATGAAGATGATGATTCATTGCTACTACTACTAAAATTTTTTCCAGATGTTACATCTTCATCAGACTTAGAAAGTGATTGCCTACTTCCCGTACATGAACAATGCGCTACGCACACTTTGATTTGATTGCCAGTACAGATTTTAAACAAGCAAGGTTAAAAAATACTATTTATAAGAAACTGCATGATGCAACTTTAGCAAAGTGCCAAGCACTATGGAATTTATTTTCCAGATCACCAAAAGCATGTGAAACATTTAGAGATGACAGGAAAGTCACCAACTTCTCCATGCGCAACTCGATGGAACTCTTATTACAATTCCATACAAGATCTTTTAGCCGTACAGACCAGTCTTAGTGAAACCATGAAAATGCTAAAATTACCTCCTTTGAAGGAAAATGAAATTCACTTCTTAAGTGAATATGTGGACTGTTCAAAGCCATTAGCAGAAGCTATTCAAAGCCTGCAAGGGGAAAAAGACATTTATTATGGTTCTCTCTTACCCGAGCTAGTAAGAATTCAACATGTGATCAAATGTCTTAGGACGGAAAATCTAAAATACTGCAGCTCTCTGTTAGATGTGATTGAAGAAAACTTAAATAGACGTTTTAAAAAGTTTTTGCAGTTAGAGCCTGCAGCAAATGATGCAATATTGGCCTCAGTGTCACAACCGTTCTTTAAAATGAGATGGGTACCAAAAGCGCGGAAAGAATATGTAAAAGAACTTATCCTGACTGAAACACGAAAAATTAATCGAACTGAAAAACTAAAATCGGAGGCTTTAGACAATATTGAAGGTGATATAAAAAAGAAGTTAAAAGATGAATCTTATTACATGTTTTTAGAGGATTCTGATTCCTCTGTTGCAAGTGCCGAAAACACAGGATCTACGGGCAGCACCGCTGACTTTGAAACATTGCAGTACTTAAACAATAAAGATACCGACATAAAGAGCTTAAATGCTTATCCTACAATAAAAAAAATATTTTTCAAATACAACACTTGTTTGCCAAGTTCTGCCCCTGTGGAGCGACTTTTCTCATTAGGGGGCATGATCATGAGGCCTCATCGAAGAAAAATGAGTGATAAACTATTTGAAGAACTGATTTTACTTAAGTCTCAATTGAAAAATTTCAAATAATTTAAACAAACAAATAAAACGGAGGAAAAGTGGGTGAAATTTAGCTTGTAAGATTTGAGTACAAACACAGGTGAAACTAAATAAAAGCTTACAAAAAAAAAATGTTTCTTATGAATATGCTTAAAAAATCCCCTTTGTCCCTGGAACCATCTGGTCTAAGATTTAGGTTTTTGTGGTCTTTAATAAACAAACTTAAATTCAAATCATTTTTTAGAAAAGTATTTGTATTTATAAAAAGTATCTATAAGATACCTATTTTGTATCTAGTATTTCAAATACTTTTCTCGAAAGTATTTTGTATCTGGTATCTGAAATACTTAATTCAAAAGTATTTTGTATCTTGTATTCCAGATACTTTGTACAGGGTATTTTGTACATCTCTGCTCGCCATTGCCTGCCCAAACGTTTACCAATTATAATATACTCAGATGGCTGCACAAGCCAAAACAGAAATAATATTTTATCCAATGCCCTATTGAATTTTTCTATGCAATATGAAGTGTCTATTGTTCAAAAGTACCTTGAGGTTGGACACACTCAGATGGAAGGAGACTGTGTGCATAGTGCCATAGAAAGAAAATTGAAAAATAGATTAATCCACCTTCCAAGCGACTTTTTGTCGGTTACTAAAGAAGCCCGTAGAAATCCCTATGAAGCCATTATGGTCGACTACACATTTTTTTAAAACTTTCATCTCCTGAAACATTACGCTATACCTCAATACGGCCGGGTCGCAAGACTGGCGATCCGAAAGTTACAGATATAAGGGCTATCAGTTACAACAAAGACGGTATCATTAAATATAAACTAGACTTTGATTCCGATTGGGATACTCTCCCTCAACGTGTTAACAAAATTTCAATAGTAAGAGAGTATCCTCCCTTACATATCGTATAAATAGAATACCAATCACAAACCAGAAGTACAAACACCTACAGGAACTGAAGACAGTAATTCCACTGGACTGCCATTCCTTTTATGACTCATTACCTCATAATGATCATTAAAGCTCATTCAATATTATGATCCTTAATTTTCTACTTCTTTGAATTAGTTGATTATTTTAATTTAAGGAAACATTATTTTTGTTACAATATTTTTAAGTTGTTTGAAGACTGTTTAAAACCTTAGTTCCTATCATAACTAGAGATTGTTTTTTTTTTTACTAAGATTTAAGTTTATTTGATTGTCAGAAGATTTAATTTTGGTTTTTGTTTCTTGATTTTTAAGGTTAGTAAAATTTAGGTATTTAATACCTAATTTTAGTTTTACTATTTTTCTGGCTTTTTCTAATAAATCCTATCTTCAAATTCGTACACTTCATTCATAGTTTTAGGGGGTGATTCCTCCTGAGTAACTAATGTAAATATCTCCTATCTGCATTTTATTGAGAATTTGAAAACTTAAAACTCCTAACTTCCGTCAAATAAAGAAAAGCTCAAAATAATAGCTATTTTGCAACATTAATAGTAAAAGCACTTAAAAAGAGACCAAGTGTTTTTTTTATTTTTTCAATAGTCTTCACGGTGACTAAATAAATCGGTTTATAGTTCCTCCTGTAAAATGTGCGTATAATTAGATAGGAGATCTCAGAAGTTCACGGACGATATGTATGTTATGTTGTTAGCAATGGATGTCCCATTTTGAGTAAAAAAATGGTCAGTTTATATAAACGTATATAAGGCAAGTGACCCGGTTGTGGCCACCGACCCCTTTGTGGCCATTCAGAACTTCAAATCATTATAACTAAGGTAAAGACAAATATATTACTCTGTTGTTTACGGGAATAAAAATATCTAATATTGGCAACACTGATAGCGTTGACAGCTTTGATGTGTCAAACTTCACTTCAATCCAACAAGTCATTATTTTTTAACGAGGCTAAGGCGAGCGGGTGAGTAATCAATCTTCTTATTTTTTTAATGTTTATGTTAATCCTTCATAAAGAATACACTGTCTAAGCGGTACTAATGATATTTTATCGCTATTTGTTTATTAAGAGAGGTTATGAGAGGTGGCCACTAATGGAGCCAAAATGAATGCATTTTCCCATCTTTGGCCACATGCCTGGCCAAAAGTGGTGCACGTAGAACCCCACTTTTGGCTATTTAGTTTTTATCGTGATTTTTCAACTTAATTACTTAGCTATTTCGATATAAGTAATCTATTAATTTTCAGAGTTACGATTATAATGCCTCCATTGAAACCAAATAATAAAAAAATCAGTGTCGTGAAAAGAAAATTGTTCCAGTACTCACCGCATAAAATAACATTAGCGTTGAACGCAATAAAGAATGGGATGCCCGTTGCCACTGCTAGTAGAGATTTTAACGTACCTCGAACGAGTTTGCGTCACAAAATTTCTGGAAAAGCGCCTGAAACTTCTTGACATGTAGGGCCCTAGTCAGTTCTTGGAAGACAAATAGAAAATGAACTTGTCATATGGATCAAAGATTGCGCTCGCGCTGGATTTCCTATCAACAAGGAAGGTTTAGTGGATTATGTTAAGAAAATTGTTGTGAAGGGCCAAATTGCTACACCTTTTATAAATGATAGACCTTCAAGATCCTGGTTCGATGGATTTATGGCGAGACATCCTGATTTGAGCCAAAAACATGCCGAGTATATTAATAAAGTTCGTGCCTTAATAACTGAAGAGAAAATTCGGAACTGGTTCCAAGAAATTTCTTCATTGCTCGGTGATATAAATTTAAAGATTCTAGAAAACCCTGCGAGAGTGTGGAACTGTGATGAAACAGTTATTTTTCTAACCCCAAAAGGATCTCTTGTGTTAGCTGAAAAGGGACAACATGTTTACGATACATGAAAAAACAGCGATTAAGAAAATATAACTACCCAATTTACTGTCAATGCCGCTGGTGAATATGCACCTCCTTTAACTATTTACAAATACAAAAGAATGAGTTCTGACGTTCTTGACAATGCATCAAATGGATGGGGAGTTGGTAAAACCGATAAAGGATGGATGACGGGCGAATCTTTCTATTAATATGTGGCAAACGTCTTCATTCCTTACCTGAAAGAAAAAGAAATTGAATTACCAGTAATTTTGTTTCTTGACAGCCACAAGTCCCATCTGACTATGCATCTTAGCGAATTGTGTAGGGAAAATGGCATTATAGTTATTGCTCTTGTCCTAAATACAACACATATGTTGCAACCTTTGGACGTTGCTGTATTTTACCCATTGAAACAGAATTGGCGTCAAATGGTCAAAAAGTGGAGCATTGAAAACGATGGACAAGAAATCACAATATTTACTTTGCCATCTGCTCTGCAAAGTTTACTCCTTGATAACAAAGATAAGTTTGCAAAAAATGTGCAAGCAGGATTTCAGACATGTGGTTTATTTCCATTTGGTGCTGCCTTTGTTAATTACAAGAGAATTATAAAAGATAGAGATCCAAAAACTTTTGAAAACCGACACGAAGTTGCTATTTCTGAATCCAGCTACATTTCATACCTGGAAAGTAAAATCGTCCCAAACATACTGAAAGACTTTTATACTACATTTAATTCTGGTAAAGACTGGGAAGGCAACAAGGAGACATAAATGTTATACGATATATGGCTAGCTTTCAAAAATGATACTACTGCTACAATGACGCAGCCCACCTTGGCATCTCATGATATTGAAAATGCCGTCAGAGAAACTCCTTCACCATCGCTTATCAGGGATGATAATATATCAAGGAACCAAGAGTACATTGATGTCTTAACTGACATTGAAAACGAAGACAGCTCCTCCAGTACTTCTCTTGCAGCTAAAGAGCCATCAGAAGGGCCAGGTCCATCTTCCGTCTATCCTGGTATCGACATTCAAGACTCGGAAAATATAAACAACTCCCACAAAACTTCGGCTGCTCTAAAAGAACCATCAGAAGAGCCAGGTCTATCTTCGGGCAAGTCTGTTACAGATGTTCAAGACTCTTTACATTCTGATCAAGTGAAAAAAAAGGATATCACAGCAGAAGAACCAGGTCCATCTTCTAGCTATTCTGATACAGATGTTCTAGACTCACAAAACAAAGACAATCCCTGCAATACCTGCCTTACAGCTCAACCCCCTGCAATAATTGCCCTTCAAACAGCTAGAGATTTAGTGAAAGATTGTGTATTGTACCCAGGAAAAGTAACACCAAAAAATACTAGAAAAGCAATGTATTTCCCTTCCGTTATCATGTCGAATAAATGGCGGGAAATTATGAAGGCAGCTGAATAAGAAAAAACAAAAAAACGATCGAAGAAAAAAAATAAACAAGGAAATAAAAAGATGAAGAAGAAAGTGTGTAGAATAATCGCATCTTCTGAAGAAAGTAGTGATGATGGGGATGGTAGCGATTCAAATACTGAAAAAGTGATAGAAGAAAAGAAAATGCCAAAAAAAGATCTAAAACGAAAAAGAAAACGTTCTGAGACTGATGACACAAGTTCCGAATCAGAATTGCCTCTAAATCAGTTAGCAAAGTTAGGAAACAATAAAATGTGCGATGAAAACTTAAAAGTAGAATCAAACGTCATTGTTAAGTATGAAAGTGAATATTTTCCTGGAAGAGTTGAGAACAAAGATAAAGGATGTTATGAAATTAGCACAATGATATTATCTACAAATAATACATTCCGATGGCCAGAAAAAACTGAAATTTGGCATGGAATTAATGAGATTGTGGAAATTATAAAGTCACCTATTAAAGTTAATAACAGAGGCTTCTTTACAGTTACTGAGATGGAAAAGTTTTTGCCCAACATTTATTTATAAAATCTTTAAATATAAGTACGTAATCATTTAAGTATTAATATATATTTTTTTGTGATTTAGAACTATATTGATATTAATCTAAGTATAAACTTGAATTTAAGAAGCAAATACAACTAAAAGTGTTATCATAAGTGTACCTAATTAATAAGAAGTATAATTGTTTACTTTATTGCAAAGACAGGTTGCCAAAATAGTTATTTAATTTTAAACAAAGACTGTGCATTATACCTAGTGATAATTATAAGAAAACTTATGAAGACTGGTCATTATAATATTATAGATATCTACCTCATATAGGTTAATGTTGATCTCCTTAATTGTAATTTTAATTCAAGCTGAGATATTATATTTCATATTTGTAGTCAATATTATGTTAGCTATTTTTCTCTAAATAAAGACTGTTGGTCGTAAAATATGCGATTTTCGAATAAACTTTTTATTACTATGCATTATCTGCTTTTTATTTTTGATGAATTTTGATGGCCAGAACTGGCACATGACTGTGGCCAGAAATTCCATTTTTTTTTTCTTTTCTACAGGAATATTTTTCCATTGAATCATTATGAAAAAAAATGTATCCTTAGGCTAGATTTATATGTATTTAATTACTTTTTACAAAAAATATGTCCGTGATAACAAAAACTGTAAAATGATATAGCCTCAAAGTCTACAAAATTCTTAAAATGGCCAAAACCGGGTCACCTGCCCTACCATGGGTGGCCAACCAGTCGATCGCGACTATTAATCCAGTCGATCGTGGTAATTTAAAAAATATAAAAAAAAATCAAACATAATCGTGTATGAACTATGCTGTTTCATTTAAGATTTTAAAAAGTAAATTAATTGGTAGATCGTACTGTGATCGTCAGTGAAAAGTCGATCTTGAGTCTAAACAAATTGGCCACCCCTGATATATACCATAATCAAAAAGGTTGATTTTACATAAAATTTCATTGTTGTACCTATTGAGATTAATAATGAGCCGCACAATCCTCAATAATGTAGGGTGTACGGCCTTTCTAACCAAATGTCTGTCCAAACTGGTTGGTATATAACCTACCACAACCCTAGTTACATCGAAGAAAAATGCAATAATTCTTTTCATAATATGTTCCATATATCGACGCTGGAAAGCAAACACCAAAACCAAAATTGTTCTTCAGAGCAGAAAAACTTTGATTTTTTTCGATAAATAATTCCTATAAAGTTCCTATAAGGTGTTCCTTAGTCAATTTATACAGAAATAAGATATATTTTTTGGAAAAATGTAAAGATTTTCCATTCTAAATATACATTTTGCTTTCCAACGTCGATATGTAGATGAATCACATTGCTGTGGACATTTTAAACGGAAACAGCAATATACCTTTCTATGAAGAAAAAGGTGGTCTTCTACATTTGATTGGGGAAAACCAAAAAATTTTTTAATTTTCAACACTAATTACAATGTTGATTTTGGGGGCGCTAGAACTGATTTATATTCATGTGCATTTAACTTGTATAATAAAAGAGTACAAAAACAGAAGTACCCCATTTAAATGTTATCAGAAAGGGAAAGAAGAATTCGATAACAACGCAGAACAAAAAAAAATTGCAATGACACTCATGTTTCCAGATTTTTCGTAGAGAAGCTCCAATAATATGGAAAATATAGACATAAAAAGTCCGCCCATTCTCTTCTTTAATAACTTTTGTGAAGAGGTCACGATCAGTACTGTAAAAACTGAAAACGAAGCAAGACAGCAGCATTAAAAGATATCATTAAATCACCAAGAAAAACCATACAAATTATTAAAACAATGGTGCTGAAATTATAAACATTTTAGAAGAGGATGATCTGAACTATTAGATCCAAATTGATACCTAGTTATCTTTTTAAGAATTTTGTGGTGGCGAATAAATCTTACCATGTTATGTGCCAGGTATTAGTCTGGTTCTACAAACCTAGAACTTAGGCTTAAGTTCTTTTTTAAGAATTTTCATTATTTTTTGAAGTTTTTCCATCTATTAGTACTGATTCAACATAGTTGTTATACTTATAGGCTGTTTTAGATATAAACATTATTGAGTACTTTGTTATTAAAAATAAAAATAAGTATTTATATAATTTATTGAAATGAGATCATAACATTTCATAAAAAATCAATAGGTAGGTTAAAATACAAACAAAATTATTTATTAATATAACAATTTACTGTACAAAGAAAATTGGAAATTGCCTGTACAAAAATATATTATATAGTATACACTTAAATACAGATAAAATACATATACATTTCTGACTGTATAGTTTAACATTATAACACAAAATTTAAATATAAATTGTTTAAATCACAAAAATTTGCATTTGGCATTTACAAGCTAAAATAATTTTTAGATACACAACTTTGTTTATGCATGTTGGAAAAGTCATTTCTACCACCCATAAGAGTACCTTTATTCACCCTTTTACATATTTCTAATGACCCCAGTGCTGGAGTAAATAGAAAAGATAATTAAAAAATATTTATAAACCCTAAGCTTATTTTTAAAATAAAATCACTCTTACAGCTCACTCTTAATGGTTTTCGACATGATATAAAATATTTATCTATCCATATCTTCACACCTTATCCCTAGCGGGGTAGGCAGAGAGGACCTAATGCCACAACACATATGTTGTGAAAGGTGCATAAGGACCAAAGTCCTTACACATCTTACACTTCATCCACTTCCATTACTCTTTACATACATACTCACTGGTTTTTATTGTCTAACATCACCTAAAAGCACATGATTGATTAGATCATGAAAGCTGTGTTTTGTGTGGCCTTTCTTGGCTTCATTATATATTGGTTTCATAATTCTTTTAATATGTCCCAACCAACAGAGCATGTTTTTGTTGATTTTTACACCAACACTATTTTTTAACTCTTCTTACTACTTAGTAGCCTGCAAGTGTTACTCTGCAAGTTCTATGTAACATACGCATCTCAACTGCGTTAAATGTACTTACATATTCCTTTTGACATACCCAAATGTCACTATTATACATTAACGCTGATATCAGCACCACATTATTTATATTAAGGTAGATGCCAAAAAATTTTGACAACGCTCCATTCACGCTATTCTCAGCACCCACTCTCCTTTTTGTCCGCGAAGCACCTTCCACCCCTGCTAAAAGCAAATCCAAGACTTGTTCCCGTCTACATCATCAACCATAATTCTTAGATTCGTTCTGGCATCGTGTCATTCAAATACCATTTAATTACTTTCAATTATAAACATACATCTTTGTCTTTTTCGCAATCAATTGTAAGCCTGTCATCGTACAATTATCTTCATCAAAAAAAGTAACACATTCAAATTCAAATTTTTTGGATAAAGTTGAAAAATCATTGCTATTCACCCAGTTTTACGGTACCTTTATTATTAATTCGATTTTGTTTTTCCATCTGATCAATTTCATATCACAAAACGTTAACATTATAAAATAATTATTCAATGAATAAAATTGCTGTAAAACTAAAATATCTAGGCACAAGGGCTCGAAACGAAAAAGTATAGATTATATAGTCGAAAAAGCCTCATCGATTTGACAAAAAGAACACATGTCATACGTATACGGCAGTGTTACCAACTCTCAAAAATATTTATCCCTAAATCTAAGTCAAAACCCCCTAAAAATGACTCAATTATTTGAAAATTCCCCTAAAAATATATTTAATAAAAATAATATATAAAATAAAAGTAATATGTAGTAATATTTCTTTATTAATATATTATCTAAAACGGTATAGTTATATTTTATATCAATATCTTCTGAAGAACCGCATTTTTAAAATCATATATATTCACATTACATAAACTTAACATTTTTGAAGATGGATTAAATGTAGAGCATGATCCACCTATCCAGTTATCCAGTTCGAAGTCATTCAATGGGTAAAAAAAATATTTGAATGACTATTATTGGATTTAATAGTTCTGTTAGATTCAGAATTACAGAATTTTATGTATTCAGAAAACCCCTAAAAATACCCCTAAACATATAAAACCCCCAAAAAAATCCCATCCCACTCATTTACCCCCTAAATTTGGGGGGAAAACCCCTAAGTTGGGAACCGTGGTATACGGATTCCGATCTCGATTCGAGCTCGAAACGAAAAAGCACAGATTATATAGTCAAAAAAACCTCATCGATTTGACAAAAAGAACACATGTCATACGGATACGGATTCCGATCTCGATTCGATTTAATCGAAAATCGATAATTTTGAACTCGAACTTTGATTTTATCCAAATTGATTGATCATCGCAAAACAATGAGACCAAAAATCGATCTTTACTTTTGTGCATAAATAATTTATATTTTATTTTTATCATTAACTTCAATGATTTAAAAAAGTTATTATCGGTTTATAATTGGATAAACAGATAATATGTTACTTTTGAGATATAGACGATTGAAGTTTAAGCTGTATTTGCATGTTGATGTAACATTTTTGTGTATTATATTTTTATCTAATAGCATAGAAAACCACATACATTATCTTATTATAATGTCATTTTAACAGAACTAACAATTTTTATTAAAATATAAAGGTTAATGTATGTTTGGATACTTTTTGATATATACAGGAAGCATTTAAAATCACTCTCCAAATTTTTACGACAAATTATGAAATACGGGGTTTTTCTTTTTAAGTCGTTTAGAACAAAAATGTTGAGTAATATCGTCACCAAGTTATTTTTAAAAAACCTACATTTGTGGACGCTCTCGCTGCCAGTACGTGCACTTTACGCGTTACGTTACATTAACCCCTCCCTCCCTTCCAGCAATTCATTGATAGTATAAGCAATTCAATACAAGTATGCTTGCGTTCAGCGTAGTTGGTGTGCTAGTAGCAGCTACCTAAAATGTTTTCGTTTTGTCATGCTTGGGGAAATGGTACGTAAAGTTGAAACCTCTTCATACTTTTACGGGCTTAGGACCGTCAAATTGCAAAAATCCTATTAGATATCTACTATTACAATAGATATACCGTTTTATATTTATAAAGTAAGTAGGTAAGTAAATATCAAGTTACCTAAAATTCTGTTTAGTTAAACCAATTCAAAGTAGGTACTTAACTAGCTATTCTTTTGCAATCAGGCATATTTAAAAAATCATCAACTTTATGTACAT